CAACTTCACAATTTGTCCCGTTCCTTCGAAGCAGTTCTGGGTAGATAGCAAGATGCAATATCTGAACCCACAATTGGTGAAAAAACAGCCTGGTAGGCCAAAAAAACAGAGAAAGAAGGGTCCAGAAGAGCTTACAAATCAACAGAAAGCAAGTAGGAAAGGACTTGCAGTTTACTGTCGGAGATGTTTGAAAACTGGACATAACATACGTACTTGCAAATCGGCGATTGACCCTAAGTCTAAACTTTACAAAGTAATGTAACATTTTACACTCTACTGTAATATGGTTTAGTGTGTTTTGTTGCTACTTATATACTAATTCATTTTGATTTGGACTGTAGGCACCTAAAGTTGGTCAAACAGCTTCAAATGCAACATCCGTAGCTTCTGCTGCTCAGGCAAGCGTATCAAGTACTGCTACTACAGTTTCACAGGTACTAGAGAGTACTGGCCAAACATTTTTGGATGCTGGAATATACTTACATATATACTAACCATGACGAGATACGTGTAGGAGCCAAATCAGCCTATAGGTGGTACCAACCAAGAAAGCCAGCAAAGCAGAATCTCAAAGAGAAAGCAACCTGCTGCAACTTCAAGGATGTCAAGGTTGCGACATTGTGGCTCCAAGAGACCAAGAAAATGAAAAGCTGTTTTCCTGATTTTGTTGACTAACAATACTACTTATGCCAAGTAGAATATGTCATTTTATTGGTTGAATGTACTGATGCCATTATGGTATGGATGGATGTTGCAGTATTTTTCATTGTACTCAGATTTTTTATTATTTTTTGGTTGACTGTTGCTCTCGTGGATATTGTATTATGGTTTTTGTGTGAATGATTTCGTTGACTGTGACTATCGTTTGGTTGACTGATGCCATTGTGGTATTGTACTCAGATAAATTGGCTATGTTTTGATCGACTATTGCATTTGTGACTCTATAGCTATGCTGGTGAACCTTTTGACCATGTTATGGTAGGATACCATTGTGGTATGGTTGTAGTAATGAGTTGATTTTTGTGTTTATGGATGGCACGTCTTCGCTTATTTATCATGTCTGGCTGTGGTAATATGGATGGCAATATCACTGGCCATATCTTTGCTGCAGATGACTAAATCTGACAAGTGTTTATGGAGATCAATATTGCTGGTTATATCTTTGCATCTGATGACTTAATATAACAACTTCATTGCATTTAATTGGGTATCTCAGGTTTTTCTGTATATGTACCACACCAGAAGCAGGCTTTTTCAATGTCTTGAACAAAAGCAGCTTCAGTTGCTCATTTATAATTCAAACATGAAAATCAACTTCAAATTGAAACAACTTCACTACAATTTCCCAACTCCAGATTCTATTACACGGCCAAACAGCCAAACATTACACTTTTTGCCCAAAATTCATCTCATACATATAACGACCAGTGACAAAAGAGACACAAGTACAGTCAGCATCATCATTATCTTCATCAGCCCCATCGTTGCTTCGACATTGTGAATCTTCGATTGTAATCCCATAATAATGTTATAGTTATTACTTTCTATTCCTTGCCCAGAGATGATAAATCTTTCCGCGGTTGCAGGTCGAATTGATGAACCCCTTCCACGTATGGACTTTGGCAGGATGATTCATTAGTGCCTCCTTCTCTACTAATTGGGTTGCACCATGCCCAAAATGAACAACCACCAGTTTCACATACATAATACAACATACTTTTTGATGGTTTTTCAGATTCTACTACCTTAATCTTTGCTTTATTGTTGCAGAAACAACGCTGATTTTGGTACCTTAGGTCTCTCGATCCACCGCCAAAATTTTGGGAGTTTGACATTTTTGGGTTCTTCCTTGAAATGATAGTTGATTTAGCCCCTCCAAAGCTTTTCTTGATCCATCCAAAGTTGCGCTGAGTTCTTTACGTTTTTGGGTCTTCGTTTTGCATCTCTGTCGAAATTTTTCATTTGCAGATCTACAACTATGGTGGGTGCAAGCTTGGAAGAGACATGGAGGACAAAATTGGAATGAAATGAGTTTCTGCTAGACACAAGTTACCATTAAGTCGCGTAAATATCACTCGCTAGCTCCCCAGCCGGTTAGCAGGTAAAATCCAAACAAGTCCAAAGCACAGGGGGGTTAAGTGGGAGTTTCTAAACAATGAGGAGGTTTCGTGTCAATTTCCTTAACCACAGGGGGATTTTATGTACTTTACCCTTTTGGTAATGATTCTCCACGGATGTCAGGAGAAAGAATTGGGAGAAAAGTTTAACTTTTCTTCCTTTTAGCTTGTAGCTGTTTTTTTTCTTCCTTGGTATGAGCAGACAAGTTAACGCATTAAATCATCCGCTGCAATTTCGGTTTTCTTTACTTCTTCGACCGAATTGAACTTGGGCATTTTCTCAATTGATGGCCGCGGCTCTCTCCGCAATTTTGCGTGGGTTTTTCGCATTAAACATGAACTAATCTCTTCACTCAAGTAAAAAAACAACGAAGGCTCTGGTTTGCCTAAATATTGTGAGATCGGTTTAATTTAATTTTTTTCTTTTATTTATTGGTATTCGCGTATTTCGTGATTGTTATGCTTACGGGTATTTAATTAATTGATTGTCTTGGATCCGGATAATTAATTGATTTGGTAACCTATCTTCAATTAGGGTATTAAATCCGTATTTGTTTAATTGTCCTGAAATAGTGACAACTGGCACGATTAGATTCGTGTCAGGGGGATACACGGGCTAATCTGAAATAACCCTGCTAGTGCATTATTTGGTTAGAATAGGGTTCCTCTAATACGTAAGGCAATTGGGGAATTAAATCTTACGGGCGTACCTAGGATTATTTTCTAATTAGAGCAGTGATTAACGGTCGTACCTTAATCACCGACACAGTAAGGAGGGGTTGACTGCCATCGCTTGTTTGGTAGTTATAACCTATTTATTGATGAATAATTGGAATTGCCCTTGCTTCGATAATCAATTAGGTGAGCCATTGCTGAAGTTATTTCTTACTTAGATCTTTAATTAATATTACCTTGATTTTAGTGAATTGCCATTTGACTTTTAGTTGCCTACTTTATTTTATTTTTAATTATTTTCTTGTTTTAATTGAGTTAGACCTTTAATTATTGTTACTCTAAATTCAGTGAATTGTTGTTTAATTTCTAGTTAGTTATTTATTTTTATCTTCTTATTCGAATTTATTTGATTGTCGTCGTTCCTACAAAATCACCCCCTGCGTTATTTTGAATTTCTTAAGAGACAAATATATCCAATCCCTGAGAATACGACCCTACTTGCCCTATCTACAAGTTCATAATTATTTGTGAAAAATATAACCATCCCATTCGAGTATATCGGATGAAACAAACTCTTCGAGAATAGGGTGAATCAAGTAACCCATTGTATACCTAGAGTCCCTACTCCAGTACTTGGAATTGGATTTTGGTTATTTTTACCGGCAATCAGATTTAATTTTATTATTGTACAGGCTTCGACAACCTGTCAATTTTTGGCGCCGTTGCCGGGGACTGGCATTATTATTTGTTTCTTTTTAAATTCATTTTTGTTCTAATTTTTTGGTGCTTTTCGAGTGTATGCCTCGTTGTTCTCGTACATGTGAATTAATTTTTGACCCCGAGGTAGAAAAGACTGCGCGTAGGACAAGAAAAGAAACCAGACAGCTCAGAGAGGAGCACTCCAGTGCTGCATCTCAAAGACCTGAACCAGAAGTTGAACCAACAGATTCGTTTGGTGACACTTCGAGTGACTTGGAACAAGAAGAAATCCCCATGGCTAATGCACGAACATTAAGGGAGTTGGCTGCACCTGATTTAAGTCAGCAGCCTTTATGCATTACTTTCCCCATTTTAAATGATAACACTACATTTGAGTTAAAATCTGGTTTAATTCACCTTCTACCCTCTTTTAATGGTTTACCAGGTGAAGAGCCGTATAAGCATCTGCAGGAATTTGTTGTCGTGTGCAACAGTATGAAACCCCCAGGCATTATAGAAGAGCAAATAAAAATGAGAGCATTCCCCTTTTCCTTGAAGGATTCTGTAAAAAGCTGGCTGTACTACCTGCCACCAGGTAGCATCACCATGTGGGACCAATTAAAGAAAAAATATTTAGATAAATATTTACCTGCGTCCAGGGTTGCAAGTCTAAGGAAAGAAATTTGCGAGATCAAGCAGCACCCAGGGAAGTCACTCTATGAGTACTGGGAGCGATTCAAGAAATTGTGCATCAAATGCCCCCAGCACCAAATAAGTGAACAGTTGCTCATACAGTATTTTTATGAGGGGCTCCTTTTCAGAGATAGGAACATAATTGATACTGCAAGTGGAGGGGCACTGGTGAACAAAACCCCTTGGAAAGCATGGGAGTTAATAGAGGGGATGGCAGAGAATTCACAATAATTTCGTACGAGTGAGGATGTCCCAATACGCAAGGTGAATGAGGTTGAGACATCCTCTATCCAGCAGCAGCTAACTGATTTCACCTCGTTTGTTAGGTAACTGGTTGTAGGAAATGCATTTCAGGCCAAGGTGTTTGGGATTTGCACTGGTATGGGTCATTCTACAGACATGTGCCCAGTGATTCAGGAAAAAAGTGCAGAGCAAGTGAACATGGCTGGTCACGCGCCCACGCCAATGAGACCCTATGACCCGTACTCGAACACGCACAATCCCGGCTAGAAGGACCACCCGAATTTCAGTTATGGAGAAAATAGGTAGCCCAACTTTGTACCGAACAGACAGTAAGGGTACCAGTAGCAGTACCAACCCCGACCACCTCCACCCCCGAGCTCTGGTCCATCTTTGGAGGAGATGATAAAACAACTGATAGCTACCACCGCACAACATCAACAAAAGGCGGACTCCAAAATACAGGACATAAGAAATCAGATGAATCAAATGGCCACAAAAATCAACTGTTTGGAGTCCCAAGTCCAAGGTAAATTGTCATCTCAACCTGAATTGAACCCGAAGAATGTAAGCGCGATGACCCTAAAGAACGGGAAGGAAATTCTGGAGCCTGAACCTAGGATCCCTAAAGACAAGGATGAGGAAAAAATCGAAAATGAGCTTGAGAGGGAGGACAGCAATGGTGCAGATCCACAGGTACTTCCAGACCCAGTAATTACAGTTAAAACTAACCCGCCTCCTTTCCCTAGCAGGTTGAAAAAATCGAAAAAGCAGGATAAGGAGAAGGAGATCCTGGAGGTGTTTTGCAAGGTAGAAATAAATATCCCTCTGTTAGACGCAATCAAACAAGTGCCGAAGTATGACAAGTTTCTAAGGGACTTGTGTGTCAACCGAAGGCGGTTGAGGGGAGATGAAAGGATCATTGTTGGGGAGAATGTGTCAGCGGTCCTGCAGAGAAAGCTTCCACCAAAGTGCGGAGACTCAGGTATGTTTACTATTCCCTGTAGGATAGGCAACACTGTGATTAGAAGGGCAATGTTGGATCTGAGAGTATCAATTAATGTCATGCCTAAATCTATCTATGCCTTTTTGAAACTAGATCCATTAAAAGAAACTGGGATAATCATTCAATTAGCTGACCGAACTAATGCATATCCTGATAGGTTGGTTGAAGATGTGTTGGTAAAAGTTAATGATTTAGTGTTTCCAACTGATTTTTATATACTTGATATGGATGATGACCACTCCTCCAATCCCTCACCTTTGTTATTGAGTAGACCCTTTATGAGCACTGTACAAACAAAAATTAATGTTAATAAAGGTACCTTGTCCATGGAGTTTGATGGGGAAATTGTCCAGTTTAATATCTTTGATACTATGAAATATCCCTCAAACTCCAACTTTAGCTCAGTTTTCTCTGTGAGTACTATTGACCCTGCGGTGCAGGAAGTGTTTGAAACTGTTGGCAGGGATGAGTTGGAGGTGGCTTTAACCAAGCACCTCGAGTTGGAGACAACTCCTGAGGTGGAGTGGAGTGAAGATTTAAAATGCACGATAGGGGCATTACACTCATTGCCAATCTCCACAAAAAGGTATGAAGTTTCACCAGTATTCACCCCCGAACCTCACCAAAGGGTATTACCATCGATGATGCAGGCACCCGTATTGGAGTTGAAACCCCTGCCGGAGCATTTGAAATATGCGTATCTGGGCGACAATGAAACACTTCCGGTAATTATCTCAGCTGCACTCTAAAAAACTCAAGAGGAGAAGTTGATCCGAGTCCTTAGAGAGCATAAAGAGGCGATAGGTTGGACCATCGCAGACATCAAGGGGATCAGCCCCTCCATCTGTATGCACCAGATTAAGTTGGAAGAGGATGTCAAACCTGTACGACAGGCGCAAAGGAGGCTCAACCCCTTATGATGGAAGTGGTAAAGAAAAAAATTTTAAAATTGCTAGATGTGGGGATTATTTTTGCAATATCAGATAGCCCCTGGGTGACCCCGATCCAAGTAGTCCCAAAGAAGGCATGAGTGACGATAGAGGCCAACCAAACGGGTGAGCTCGTGCCAGTGCACAAACCCATTGGATGGAGGCAGTGTATTGACTACCGTAGGCTGAACGCCGTCACAAAAAAGGACCATTTCTCTCTCCCTTTTATTGACCAAATGGTTGAACGTTTAACTTGTAGGGCTTACTATTGCTTTTTGGATGGATTTTCAAGATATTTTTAGATAGCAATTGTATCAGAGGATCAAGAGAAGACAACCTTCACGTGCCCGTTCGGGACCTTCGAGTACAGACGGATGCCATTCGAGTTGTGGAATGCACCTGCAACATTCTAGAGGTGTATGGTAAGCATTTTCTCTGAATATGTAGAGAAAATAATCGAGGTTTTCATGGACAATTTTAGTGTGTATAGTGATAGTTTTGGTACATGTCTAGATAACCTGAAATTGATTTTATTAAGATGTATTGAAACTAATCTCGTGCTTAACTGGAAAAAATGTCATTTTATGGTTGAGCACGGGATAGTCTTGGATCATATTGTATCTTCTAAAGATATCGAGGTCGACAAGGCTAAAATAGACATTATATCTGCCTTTTCTTACCCCGCGAGTGTGCGGGAGGTGCGCTCTTTTGTTGGACATGCAGGTTTTTATCGAAGGTTTATCAAGAATTTTTCAAAAATTGGAGCCCCGTTGTTCCAACTCTTACAAAAAGATGTGACTTTCGAATTCGATGACAAATATGAGAAAGTCTTCGACAAGTTGAAAGAACTACTGACCTCACCCCCGATCGTCCAGCCCCCCGATTGGAGTTTGCCATTTGAAATCATGTGCGATACCAGTGATCATGCTGTAGGGGCTGTATTGGGGCAAAGAATAGGAAAGGTAGCTCGCATCATCTACTATGCATCCCGAGTCCTGAATGGGGTCCAATTGAATTATTCCACAACTGAGAAGGAGCTTCTTGCAGTTATTTTTGCTTTAGAAAAATTCAGGTCATATTTGTTAGGTGTTAAAGAAATTGTATTTTCTGATCATGCAGCATTAAGGTACCTAATGACCAAAAAAGATGCAAAATCGAGGCTCATCAGGTGGATATTGTTACTACAGGAATTTGACCTGGAGATAAGGGATAAAAAAGGTTCAGAGAATCTAGTAGCCGATCATTTGAGTCGCATACCAGTTGGGGAGGAGAACGAACCATTGAAGGATGCATTCCCTGAAGAACATTCATTTTCTTTAAATTCTCAGCTGCCTTGGTATGCTGATTTAGTCAATTATCTAGTAACGGGTAATTTTCCTGCAGGGTGACCGAAATCGAAGAGGGATAAATTGAAGAGCGACACCAAGTATTTTATCTGGGATGACTCGTACTTATGGAAGAGATGTGCAGATCAAGTGATGAGGAGATGTGTAAGTGAAGTGGAATTTCAATCGATTCTAGTTTTTTGTCATACTTTTGCCTGTGAAGATCATTTTGGACCCAAAAGAACTGCTCATAAGGTATTGGAAAGTGGTTTTTATTGGCTTTTATTGTTTAACGATGCTTATGTGTTCTGTAAATCATGTGATCGCTGTCAAAGGGTAGGTAATATAGCCCATAGAGATTATATGCCCTAGGTCCCGTTGATTTTGATCGAAATTTTTAATGTCTGGGGTATAGATTTCATAGGGCCTGTTCCTAGTTCATTTCGGTTTTATATATATTTTGTTGGCAATTGATTATGTGTCTAAATGGGTGGAGGCTAAGACCACTCGGACTAATGACTCGAAAGTAGTTGCAGATTTTATCAGGTCTAATATTTTTGTGCGATTTGGAATGCCAAGAGCTATTGTCAGTGATAGGGGAACACACTTCTGCAACAAAACCATAGCTGCGTTGTTTCGCAAGTATGGTGTACTCCACAGGGTCTCAACGTCGTACCACCCTCAGACCAATGGTCAAGCGGAGGTGTCGAATAGGGAGATTAAGTCCATCTTGGAGAAAATGGTGCGCCCCGATAGAAAGGACTGGAGTCAGAGGTTGGAAGATGCTCTTTGGACCTACCACACGGCGTACAAAACCCCCATAGGGATGTCACCCTATAGATTGGTATTCGGGAAGCCGTGTCACCTACCAGTGGAGTTTGAGCACAAGGCTTTTTGGGCGATAAAGCAATGCAACATGAACCTAGAAGAGGCCGGTGCCCAGCGAAAGTTGGATTTGCAAGAATTGGAGGAGATCCGGAACGAAACCTACGAAAATGTACTAATTTACAAGGAGAGGAGCCGGACATTTCATGACCAACAGATCTCTAGAAAAACCTTTGAAGTTGGTCAGAAGGTCCTCCTGTACCAATCCAGGCTCAAGCTATTCCCAGGTAAGCTACGTTCCCGTTGGATTGGACCTTTCATTGTGACTCACATTTTTCCCTATGGTGCAGTTGAAATCCAGAGTGCCAAAACAGACAACAAATTTGTGGTGAATGGACACCGTCTCAAACATTATTACGAAGGTTTTCCAAGTGGAGAAATGGAGACAATAAGTCTAGACGCACCACCGTGTCCTAATCAGTGACACTTTACCATATCTAGCCAAAGACATTAAAGAAAGGCGCTCATTGGGAGGCAACCCAATCTCTTTTAATTGTTTGTTTAGTTTTGTGTGATAGTTTCACTATGTTTTCCTTGAGTTTGATTGGTTTCGGGTTTGAAATTTTCGTTTTTGGTGAGTTGTAGGTGTCTATCTGACTCGGCACGCCCGCGTCATGGCACAGGAAGAGCTCATGGTCAGAGAGCTCTCTTGCCCTCTTGACGTGCCCGCGTCATGACGTACAGAAAGCTCACGATCAGAATCGTCAGAAGGGGTTCTTGCCCTCATGATGTGCCCGCGTCATGACTTACAAAAAGCTCACTGTCAGAGAGCTCTCTCGCTCTCATGACGTACCCACGTCAAGCGACCTAAAGACCTCTCTTGCCCTCATGACGTGCTCACGTCACGTTCGCGGGAAAGGTAAGGATTCAAAAAAATAAAAAAAAATTTAAAAATTTAAAAAAATAAAAGAGAAAAAAATAAAAAAATATATAATAATAATAATTAATAAAAATTAATAAAAAAACAAAAAATTTTAAAAAATTAATTTCCATAACGAAAAAAAAACAAAAAAAAGAGAGGTCGACAATTAAAAAAAAAAAAGATCTCTGTTCTTTTTTCTTTTCTTTTTCTTTCTTCTCTTTTCTTTTCTTTCTTTTTCTCTTTTCTTTCCTTTCTTTTTTCTTTCTTCCTCTTTTCTTCCCTTCTTCTTCCCGCTGCCCTTGTTCGCCCTTTCTTTCTTCACCTCCACCGCGCGCCACTCTATTCTTCGATCTCATAGCCGCACGCCGCCATCCATGCGCACGCCGACGCTGCGCGCCGCCCGCGACCCCAGCGCACCGCCAGAGCGAGGCTCCCCTTCGCACGCCGAGCCCATCACCTCCATCCTAGCTCCAGCCCCGCCACCACCAGCTCCCCTCGCCTCTCCGCGCTCCTCTGCACACGGATGCCGCCGCGCCCACCATCCGCAGCTCTAGCCCAGGCGCGCAGCCGCTGCTCCGCGCGTCCGCTGCGCTGCATCATGCGCCCAAGCAGGGGACATCCACCAACCCCCTGCGCTCCCTCACCTCTCTCTCTGCTCTGTCTAGCTCTGCCCACGCCGCTGCTGCACAAGCTGTCGCCCGCCACCACCGCGCAACGCCGACCTCCACCTCTCTCGCGCGAGCTCTCCCTCATTTTCCCTTGCCTGCATCATTCTCTCTCTGTCTCCTGCCTCTCACCACTGCCATAAGAAGCGCGCGCCGTCGCCCTTTTTCCCTCGCCGCATCTTTACTCCCGGTGGTCCTCAAGGTGGAGGTATTCGTCTAACTCCGGCTCTGTTTTGTGTCCAGCAATCGGTGCTGGTAAATTTTGTAATTTCAAGTGTATCGGGCTATCTTGGATTCAATTGAGATTTATTTTGCCGCTTTACTTATTGCGTAAATTGAAGTGAATCATTGGACTACCATGGGAATCCACTAAGTGTTGTTTTGCTTGGATTTTTGTTGAAACTTTCTTAACTGGATTGTGCATTTAATTGCTTTTCCTGTATCCCCTTCTTTACATATTCAGTGACGTTTTGGGCCTCTGCAAAATCTTAGTAGGGATTGGCATTTCCATTAAACATTTTGCTAATTGGGTTGGCTATTTGAGACTATTCGTTTACTGGAGTTTGCCCCCAGTAGTACTGGTGGGAGTATTTTCACTTGACTTTGGTCACTCTATTTGGTTGGATACCTAATTGTCTGCCAAGGGCCTGTGACTTTGTGCTCTTGTTACATTTTTGAATTGCTAGTGCTTGATTTAGCATATTATTGGGGCAATTGCTGCAATTTTAGAGTGCATCTGTTGAGATTATGGATGGCCAAGTCTGCGTGTTGCCTGACTGACATGGGTAGTCCCTGTGCTTATTGACGCGGCTTTACTAGCTTCTAGTTGTTGATACTAGTTTCCGGTTGTTGATTTTGGAGAGCAATTGTTACTTTGTTGATCATATTTGGGTTTGAGAAGCCCGTGTTTACTTCTGATTGTTGAGTGGGCAGCACTAGTAACTACTGAATTCAATTTGTTGGATCCTACTGTGTCCCTGCCAATTGTTTCTGCTAGTCGCTGTCGCGCCCCATTTTTTGATTCAATTTGTGATTGGAAAATGAATTGTGATTTAAAAGAAAAATGGGTCTAAATGGGGGTTTGAGAATGCGACGATTTGACCCAAAATTATAGTTTAAAAGGGTTTTTTGAAATAAAAAATCGGAGTCGCCACTTAGTAATGAGTTAAGATGTACCAAGTCAGCTAAAATGAATTTTTAAAGAAAAAATAGGGAAAAGTAGTAAGAAACCCCTTTTAAACGACTCCTAATCCACGTAAACCAACGAAAAAGGTTCGGGAGTCACATTTGACGAAGGGGAAGGCAAGGATAAAAATCCAAGGCACCCCTTCGACCTAGCCAAGGCTAGTTGCGTGATTTAATCAAAGATTTTCTTGTTTTAACCAAAGAATTTATTACATTTGGATGTACTACATGAATGCAAACCCTAGACCTAGGGGTATTGGGGGGCAAAATTTCTCTTCAAAGCTTGAATGGTGCCAATCACATTAATTGTGAAGCCCAATAATGATCCTCTGGAGAGGTCACACATAATCCTAAATGACGTAAAAATGAGTGAAATGAATGCATACCATGTGAAAATGTGTGAAGTGAGAAAAGGAAAAAATAATAGGAGGTAAGTGGAGGTGTGCAAATGTATTTACAAGGTAAGGTGAGTAAAGAATGATGATGTGAAAATAACATAAAGTGCATGTGTGTGAGTGATATGGTATAAAGTGTGAGTAGTTAAGTGAAAACGTCCAAAAGTAGTGTGAAGTGAGAATGTGGAAAAAAGGATAGAATATAAATTAGAAGTGTATAGGATAGTGAATAAATAAAATGCATGAACCCTATAGGAATGCATCAAGACGGGAACGGGGAGTCCTAACTTTGTGACTTCAATTTTCCCTTTGATTAGAAAGGAGAACTAGCGTGCTAAGGTTATTTTGTAGCCAAACTCGCTCGTTTCCCTTATCGAAAGGGGACTCTTCAAGCAAATGTACCCTATATCTAGCATGAGGTGCAAAAATCCTAAAATGAGAGGAAAAGGGGTTCGAGGAGCATGCCAAATGATAAAACTAAGAAAAATTCATGACATGTAGTGAACATGCAAGTATGCACTAACGAAAGGGGAACGGCCTATTAGGTCTAGCATTGGACTAGCCCTTTCTATGAATTCCTAACGAAATAATGAGCCACAACTAGCATTGGACTAGTGTGGTGGCGTACATTCATCCATCACATTCATCTACAACTATAGAAAGCAAGTAGACATGCCAAACACTCATAAACACATAGCACATAACACTTAGCATGCTCGACTAGATGCAAAAACCTAATAAAGCAAATTAACACATAGCCACAAAAGCAAGCAATCAAGCTAATGAACCTATTACATTTGCTAGCTAGGCACACGTCTTCAATAGGTCTTCATCAAGTGCTCTCCAAGCCCTATCTATTACAAGCCAAGAGGTGTACACATACCCCATAAATAAAGAATAACTTAATGAAAGCAAAAGTAAATGAAATGAATGAAAGAGATTAAGGAAAAGCAAGGAAAACAAAGTAGACATGCAATTCTCACTTAGCACATTGGATCACATAGGGGAGAGACAAAAAAGATAAAAGAAGTTATACCTCCCTTGGAATAGTGTCCCAATGAAAGAAAAATG